ATTTCAGAGATGGACCTAAGGTGAGGGAATGGAAACTCGAGGAACCCGAGTAATATCATGTTAGCCATCATAATAAATCATATATGTCAATACCCAGAGCCTCCAAATATTGAGACAAAATAAGAATTTCAAATAATGATTACGGCCTCCAAGTCGAGGCATATGTCAATAATTGTCGATATGGGGTCATTTTCCGACACAGATGAACACAGGACATTCATCGAGTCATGGAACTGGGCAGCATCCCAGGCTGCCAGGGCTAGCTGCCACAGGATGAAACTCCCAATACCTTGGAGTTGGAGTGGCCTGGGGCCCCTGGGGGCCTGGGCTCCTCATGTGGAATCCGCCCCCCCTAAAAGATCCGGGATTATGATGGGTTCCTCAAGAGGTCGCGGCTTTAATGATCCAAATGGATTATTCATCTCCCAATAAAGTGACCCACTGCCCACTGCCTACACAGAATTACTAAACTATCTATTGTGAGGTGCCAATATTCATTCATAATTACCCATGATTGACTCCAACCCCAAATTCGTTTTTGTTAAGACCGAGCCAAGTAAAAGGCACATAAACAGCACATGGGAATCGGAAATTTGCGATTTCTAGCTAAATCTGGAAGGAATCTGAACAATTTGGGTCACTCTAAAACTTCTAGCCAACAAATAATTTGTTTTGCATTTTTGGTGGCCATCGCCTCACTCCACCGCACACCTGACGAACCAAATTTCAAACCCCACAGAAGCTATGTGATGGTGCCGCTTGGTGAGCATAAATTGGGAATGTCCTCCGTTGAAATCGATATAATTATATATATAATATATACAATACAATACAATACAATAGAATAGATTACAATACAATACAATACATAATACATAATACATAAAATATAATATATAAAATATTAATATATAATATATAAAATATTAATAGATAATATATAATATATAGATATATAGATAGAAATATATATATAGAGAGATATAGATATATAGATATATAGATATATAGATATATAGATATATAGATATATATATAGATATATAGATATATAGATATATAGATATATAGATATGTAGATATGTAGATATGTAGATATATATATAGATATATAGATATATAGATATATAGATATATAGATATATAGATATATAGATATATAGATATATAGATATATAGATATAGATATATAGATATATAGATATATAGATATGTAGATATGTAGATATGTAGATATATAGATATATAGATATAAATATATAGATATATAGATATATAGATATTTTGATATATCGATATATCGATATATAGATATATCGATATATAGATATATAGATATATAGATATATAGATATATAGATATATAGATATATATAGAGATACATATATATATACAGATATATATATATATAGATATATAGATATATAGATATATATATATAGATATGTAGATATGTAGATATGTAGATATGTAGATATGTAGATATGTAGATATGTAGAAAGATAGATATATAGATTTATAGTATATAATGTAGATAGCATCAGTCACGAAGCATTCTGAGCCAAAAAAACTCTCTGGTAATTTATAAAACAATCTGCTATGGAAACCGTGGCGCGTTTGCAAATGATTTACTTATTAACAGATTGTGATTTCGATAGCAACCTGTAAATGACCACCACCCAGTCACATTGTATGGATGGCATCTGGGCCTCGCCGCCAGTTTGAGTTTTCTGAGCGGCGTGTTCTGCCCGTCTTGGGCCGCAAGGCTCCAAAGGGTGAACTTATGCATCCTTTGAGCCACTTCAATGACATCCAGTGACAGCATGTCCCAAATATGTTCTTTGCGGTCGGAAAATGCTCTGTGCTCTGTGACCCTGTACAGAGACATGTACGGAAACGCTGCAATAAAAACAAGGATCGTTAAGATATCGACATCAAATTCATGGTTGCAGTCCAATGTCAAAGAATCAGGACATGAAACGGTTTGAAACAATGGCCCAAATTTATTTATTCTCAAGAATAATGCTCTATCGGGAGGTGCGTTGGTAGGGTGCTAGGTGTTTGGGGCAGGTACGGTGCAGAAGTGCTAGGTACATGTCGGGGGTACGCTCAGAGGTACGTTGGGTGCGTTTAAAAGGTACGCTGGGTACGCTTCAAGGGTACGCTGGGTACGCTTCAAGGTTTCCCTAGGTACGCTTCAAAAGTGGGAAGGATTAACTATTTGTCACCAACGGTCAATGGCATACAATGTTCATAGTCGGTTGCAGTTAAACAATGATTTTACATATATCACATAACCACGTTCATGCCATACATGTACGGATGGTGCGATACCTCGGGGCAAGTCATGACTTGCGCACGATTTACCATGGGGTCAATGGTAGTGAATAGTGGGTATGGGCACAAATTTGGGGCACTGGACGTTGAGCATGAAGCACCTTCAACCGAACATTTCAACCAAACAGAGGCTGGATGTGGCACTGGAAACGTTGTTTTCAGGCAACGGCCACAAACAAACGGTCCCAGGAGGTTCCCGCAACTCTTCGGAGCATTACGTTGTGTTTTTGACATTTTGCCTTTTCAAATGAACTGTGAACATACAATTCCTCGGACCTGACATGTTTGGTAACCTGCGGCACGCAAACACATGTCAATTAGTCAAGAAAAACGTAACGGTAGCCTCTACAGCTCCGCGTTCCACAAAAACTATCTTGAAGCAACGGGGGCCATTGCTTGGCAAAGCACATTTCGTTCCATACACATGTTGGGACTATTGCTGTTTTGGTGCTAATTTCCAGGATGCTTTCCTACCAACCTACACAGTCACAGTGCTATGCGCTTTCGTGGGGAGCAATTCCGGAACATGCATCTAACGTCTTAGGGCGGAGCGGTCCTCAGGGAAGAACTTAATAGATTGGTGGCGGTGCCCCTTCTGATGCATTGCCCGCTCTAGACATGCCGAGGCCCATTTTTTCAAAACAGGATGTACATATTAACCAAAAACATAAGAATTCACATTATATTGTTGTTTTCGAATCAAATGTTTCTTGCGATTAGCTAAAACTATATATATATATGTGCATTCCAGATTAGAGGAGGCCTTAGCGCCGCTGATTGGATTTTTTGTGCAAAAAACAAGATGTATGAGCTCAACCAACTAATGGAAGAGTATCCTTGACTTTCCTTTTCTTGATGTCACCTGATATTAATGCAAATCTGGCTCAAGAATACGGAAGCCAAAAACAATTAAACACGTCAACACTTAAATGGATAACAGCAACATATAGACAAAGCATGCCAACACTAGCTGCAGGAGTCCCGCTACTAGATGGGCAGCATATCCGCGATAGCAAAAAACCATCGTCCCACTTATACGTATGTATATATATATATTTAGGAAAATCTTGGGCCTGCAAACATTGGAAATTCCAAAATAATTATTTTGTCATTTTTTTTGCATTTTTGTTGCATTTTTTTTTGCATTTGGGTTTGTCATTTTGGATTTGTGTTGTCATTTTTTTGTCATTTTTTTTGTCATTTGTTTGTCATTTTATTGTCATTTTATTGTCATTTTGGGAACGGGAAAATGGAGAAAAAACATTGTTTAAAAATGACTACCATGACAGACCTTTTGTTATCTCATGGCAGCACCAAATACAAGGAACAAGTGGAGAAACTCTTGGAAAGCCAGCCGGCGGTGAAGAAGGATAGGGCAGGGGAGCTTGCCCTGGGGAATTCGTTTTTGGGCCTGCCTGGACGAGGAGTTGTCTCCCGGCTCGGGGTGCAGGGCCGGCTCAAAAACCGGGTGGAGGGGCGGGGCCGGGGTGAAATGGCCCGGGGGGGCGGCTCAGGCCCGAGAAGCGGGGCCGACCTGGAAACTCCAAAAACGCAACTTTACCAGCACGCGAGTCATTTTTTTCGCATTTTTTTTGCATTTTTTTTGCATTTTGTTCGCATTTTGTTCGCATTTTTTTGCATTTTTTTTGCATTTTTTTTGCATTTTTTTTGCATTTCCCAGACTAGGAGTCATTTTTTTTGCATTTTTTTTGCATTTCCCAGACTGGGAGTCATTTTTTTGGCATTTTTTTTGCATTTCCCAAACCGGGAGTCATTTTTTGCAATTTTTTGCATTTCCTAGACCGGGTTTGCCACCTTCACCGCTTGCCTGATCCTTATGAGAAAACGACAAGAAAATGAACAATGCTAGAAAGTAGAAAACGACAAGAAAACGACAAAAAAATGACAAGAAAATGACAAAAACATGACTTAACAAATGACAAAAAAATGACTTAACAAATGACAAAAAAATGACAAAAAAATGACACCACAAAACAGGAATGACAAAAAATGCAAAACCAAATGACAAAAAAATGACAAAAAATGACAAAAATAAATAACCAACAACCCTTAGAGTTTGCTGGTAAGATTTTCATAAATATATATATATATAGTTGTGTAATTACCAGCAAACACCGCAGGTCATGGACCCCATGGTTTCTTTACCATGCGTCTCCCTGGCAAAACCACAACCGACTTCAAATGACAAAACGCTTTCCCAACCTTTATCCTTTCACACGGCTCTGTATCTGCTCGCCTTATCTTGTTTTATTCCTGGCATGTTTACGTGTACATATAGAACGCAGTAGTATACAGAATCGGTGTATGTATCTACCAACGGCATCTCCATAGAGGCCCCATACCATACGCATGAACTTATCACCATATTGTACTCCCCATACCGTGCCCGAGTGTCGTTTATACCTCCTGACCATACCCATCGTGCCGTCTTACCGTACCCATGTACCATACCTATGTTCCCAATGTAGAATCATCCCATTGTTTGACAACAAAACAATTTCCAATGGTTCTTCATATTTACAGGTTTACTAACCTGGCATTCAAACTTTTTTCCCTGACATGTTAGAATTGGGGGGTGTGGCCTTTGAGACTTTACAGTACATGTCTGTTGCATGGCGGCGGCCAAAGCGAGCAAGCATCTATTTTCCCAGCTCCTCTCATTGGAATCTGTTGTGGGTCCAGCTGCTCACACACCTGGCACAAGGATTCAGGGGATCACAGAAATGGCAAACCACTACCATTGGCGCTTTCCTCTCATGTTTCCTACAGGAAAGTCGCTTCAACAGTATGACTTATGGCTGCAACTCTAGCCTTTTTAAGGTTTTTCCATGGTTTTTTGTTGCTTTTATTCAGACTAACAGCATGCAATCCCATCCATGATTTCTACTCATGTTTTCCACCCTAGATGTGGGAACAGAACGCTCGGCCTCTCCGCTTCTGGTTCTTGGCGAATACGTTGAATCACACGACACCGCAGCCCCAAGGCAAGTGTCACGCAAAGCCGCAATGCTGAGCTAATATCTTTGGCTCAAAATCCAACAGCTTCTTAAGAGTCTCTACACTCAGCGCCGATACGTATGAGGGGTAGCCCGTTCGCCAATCATTTGTTCCAAACCTTTCGAGATTCTGACAAGCTCTACCTTCAACTGGAAATCAAAACATCTTTATATCGTATTCCTGAAAATCTTGCTGCGCTCGAATTGCGTTTCATCGGCAAAGTGAAAAAAGGCAGGCTAGGAGCAACCCTGCTGCTCCAACTGCACGGACAAAAACTGCACCTTCTTTTGGACAAGCGTGACAAGGAATTGATGGTAGTAAGCCCACCATCGTTACCTTTCCTGCACCGCTTATACTCTTGCGAGCACACTAGCTGGAGACAAACGCCCATTTGACTTGTCCGGCCATCATACTTGGTGTTGCTATAGGATCCCAGAAGTGGTCAAATTACCACAGAACAGTCCGAGCGGGGCTCTTGCACCAACCATTGATTGGGAAAAGGGCTCTGGGCCAACCATCGAGTAGATGCAAATGGGGCTACAAGTAGAGCTTACAACCATCCAGTCGAAGTTTATTCGTTGCCACCAGCCGCCAGCTGAGTGGTTTCCAGTCAACCACTTGAACCATAGCTGCCACAGCTGTTTCTGTGGCAATACTTGGGCTTCATGGAAAGCACGAGCGTCACAGGGTCAGGGTGAATCTGCATTCACAGCGGGAATCGAGAGCATGGTCCAACTGCAAAGTGCAGTCGGTTCTCGAAGGATGGACTGGGCAGAACAACACATCTCGAGAGAAGAGTTCCACTGACCCTAGGTTTTGCTCGAAACATGCGCATCCTTGGTAAGGAATCTTTCACAGCATCTAACAGGTTAGCAAATTGCTCTAAACTGAAAAGAGGGACATTGCATTCGTTTTTTTCCTTTCTTAGCATTTGGGATTGCTGACGAGTTCTGCTGCAAAACACCCAGAAATTCTAGAAATCAGATATCAGCTCAATCTCATGGAATTAGCTAGAAAAAGCTGAAAACAAGGAGGCAGCACAGAAGGCAACCCTGCACCAAAAACACCTACAACATCTGGAGAGAAAGCAGAATGACGAGTTCACGACTGCATGGGCAAAGAATTTCGTCCCAACTTGATGACATCTGTAGAGTTGGTGAGTCTGGTGTGTTCGACATTTACCATGCACTGCAATTGCGGTCAATACCAGCAGGGGGCTGCGGACTTTAATCCATGAGTTTGCACCTTTGGATCTCACAACTGCATGATATTTGAGGCATTTTGAGGCAAACATTTGGACAAAGTCTTGTTCAAACGGCCCTCCGTCAAGAGCCAGTTGACCTTGGTCCATGACTCTGACACAAAACAAATTGCAGACTTTGCACCTGTGGCTGCCAGCTCTCAAAGGGAATGAAGAGTGCATGCATCTTTGGCACAGAATCTTTCGCCACAACAGATTTACGACACTTTCTACACTGAAAAGAGTTGCTATGTCAAGACATTGCCAAAGTAGCCTCACATCCAACGGGGCTTGGAGGCTGACTGGCTCTGACTGGGTACTTTTCTTTGCATGGCACGGCTACCCTGCCAATTCAGAAAGGCTTGAAGTGGCTGCATGCTTGGGTGAAGAGATGGCATCTTCCATGCACAATGAAGAGACCGGAGGAAAGTTCCAATGTCCAATCCCTTCCGGTTGAAGTTTCAGGCTTCCCTTCCGTGCGCACCTTCGCTTCCGCCTCCTTCGCCGTAGCCGTGGTCCAAGGGACCCAGCAATTTGAAGGGACAAATCCCAAAGTCCCACAGACACAAACTCAAAGCCACCAGATAGATCACAAGCTACCAGGTTTGATGGCGGATGACAGGTTGCCATGCCTGAACTCAGGCATTGTTTCTCCGACCGGCGCTTGAGATGTGGTGCTCGGGTCAGATGAAATGTCAGCTCTGGACATATCAACAAGACCTGGCCATCTCTTGTCTTATGGCTTGCCACAAGCTGCCGGCGTGTGACGAAACAGTTGTGCATCTACTGCTCTAAAAGTGGAAAGTGATCGCATCACAAGTCGGCTTGAAATCGCTATTCATGTTTTGGTTTCACACAGGCCTGCCAATCAGAGCACAACCACCGAGTCGAAAAACATGTTTTGTTACCTTGCCTCTGTTGAAGGAAGCCTCAAGCAACGCGTAAATTCCACGAAGTCACGAAGCCTTCCAGTTGCAAACACAGCGTGACCACGTTCCAGGCGAAGGGGCGAGGATTTCCTTCGCTTTTGACAGCCTGTTTCATCACCAGCTGTGGCGAAATGATATGGCCATGGCACATGACGATCCACGGTCGCGTCAATCCATGCTCCCGTGAGCTGGATGGCAAAGTTGCAGATCTTCGGCCAAAAACGAAGCTCGACAACTGCAAATTCTATGCTGATTATGCTGTCTGATTAGAGTTTGTCAACCTCCCCTTTTTGAGCAATTAGCCAATTTTTCGCCCTTTGTCGACAAGTTTGTGTTCCAACCTCCAACGTGGCCGACGTGGCCATCATGGAAAATCGCGGCCTTGACAAAGCGAACTGTTGGTCACTGATCTGGTCCCGAAGTCGACTATTGGAGTGTCACTTAGCGCTTGAGTTTCAATGGTCATAGCGGTCATACTTTCTAGTCTCAGTTCGATGACTTCTGCATCTGTACACCATGCTCTGATCTTCTGGCCATAGGAATCAGTCGATCAGTTAGGCGTCTACAAAATTCCACGTCTTGCCACATTTTGTCGCCTCACGGTTTCGGACAAAATCAGGTCAGCAATTAACACATTCAGTTGCACTGGCAAATTCATCTTGCGATCCTCGACATGAAGCTTTGTTGTATTTGTTGCGGATTCACCGGTGTTCAATGGGTTCTTTTGTCGCACTGCACCATGCATCCTCAGAAGCTGCAAGTCACCCTGTAGCTCCACCTTTCCAACATGAGTAGCAGGGCTAGATGGCCTTTCTGCAGCCGATGTTCCGCTCCCGGCAATGCATGCGATCAGATTCGCGCTGTCACCTTCCACCAGGTTAGTTTCTGCTGGAGATTTGTCTTGGCTGCTTGCATGGCCTCCCTATGCGCTTACGTATACAGAAGCAATTCGAAGGCAAAGGATTATGTAACAACTGCAGGTTTTTCTCCGATGCCAATTCAGTATGTCTTGTTCACGGCACATTATTTTGTAGCCAGATCTTTTGGCACACTTCGCGAGATCATTGCTCTCTCACGGAACTCAAATGGCTCTTGATAGAATGGGATCGACCTCGCTACTTGCCTTGAAATTACGGACCTCAACAACTGTGGTTTTTCAACTCGTTGTAATTTTGCAGCGCGAAAGTTGAAAAACTATGGTGGCTATGCCTTAGGAAAATCATTTAGGCCTGTGTCTGTCGGAAGTTACCCAGCAGGCCGAAAGCAGGAAAACACATAAAAACATCACTTTCACCAGATTGGTGAAACATGGAAAACCCAGCATTTCACCAAAAATGAACATTTTTGGCACTTTGAAGCTCATCGCCAAAATTGGGTTTTTTGATTTTCTGGTGGATGACGAAATGGTGAAAAATCCGTTTTTCACCATTTTGGAATCGCCCAAAAACACCAAAAACCACATTTCTTCGACCGCTGGAAAACTGTTGAATCAAGCTGTTTTTTTTTCTCCCGCTGCCTCGAGGTCTCTTCAGTTCTAGAACCAGCACCGCACGCCTCTGCAAACCATTATTTGCTCCCGCGGCAATTCATGGGTCGGGTTCCAGGGCGCCCAGGCTGCCCTGATCGGAATGTGTGCATTCAGTTCCTGCCAGGCTATCCACATCGGAATAGTTGCACTGTGTACACCGTGTACGCCTGCCTTGTCTTGGCACTAGCCAACCTTGCGGTGAAAGAGTCAAGCATCTGAGAATCTGCATATCAGTTGAAATCTTTCGGCTGAAACGTGAGAAAAACGGGTACCCTGCTGGATTTGGGAACTTTCCCAAGGCACTGCAAGAGGGCATGTTTATTGTTGCTTTTATTCAACAGCATGCAATCCCATCCATGATTTCTACTCATGTTTTCCACCCCGTGGGAACGGAACGCTCGGCCTCTGTATCCGCTGGTTCTTGGCGAATACGTTGAATCACACGACGACTGGGACACCTCAAGACATGATGTCTTGGGCCGAGCTACACCGCAGCCCGCAGGGAGCCTTGTCAAAACTTTGTTTGCTGCGCACAGGCCTGAAACATAGGATGACTGCAGGATTTCTACAAAATACATCCGTCTTTCTCATGCCGTGAATGTGGAGCGTGGCCCATCTGGAGCAAACCAGTTGCGCATCAGAGGCTCTTATATGGGATGGAGTGGACAAAACAACACATCAAGAGCAGCAAATCCAACAGCTTCTTAAGAGTCTCCACACTCAACGCCGAGTGTAAAAGGGGTAGCCCGTTCGCCAATCATTTGTTCCAAACCTTTTGAGATTCTGACAAGCTCTACCTGATTGATGTTGTTTTTGTTGGGAAATTGAAAACAAGGAGGGAGGTCAGGGGGCAACCTGCCACCAAGGGGCTGCGGACTTTAATCCCTGAACTTGCACCTTTCGATCTTACGGCTGCATGATATCTGAGGCTGATATTTGGAGAAAGATGGAGAAAGTCTTGTTCTTTGTGATAGATCTCTTTTGCATGCTTTGCAAAGTCTTGAATTCTCAAAGGGATCAAAAAACAAAGGACTAGGCCGCTGTTTCTCTTCATGAAGCGAGCTGTATCGCTCTTGCAATCTGCTCTACCACCTGCACTTAGGCTTGCTCGGACCAGTCCAGTACCCTGATATGCCCGGACTGACAGAAGGACCTTTTGGGAGGGCATAACTGCAAACCCCCCGGAGAGGCGATGGAAAGCGAATGTTACGAAAGGTAAAGGTGCCCCTTCCCCTTTGTGATAGATCTCTTTTTTGCATGCTTTGCAAAGTCTTGAATCTTGCTTTGCACAACTTGCTAGAAGATCGCTCAAAGCAAACGACGTGACATGTCTTTACACTCCGGGAGTTTCTGAGATACGCCCTGAGATTACACCTTCTTTTCTCTTTATTTGGCGATAAATCCAACACATCAATGGATATGTCGGGCTCAGAGCGTATTCCGCCACTTCCAAATGTCCTCGTGCACTTGTTGAGCTATAACCTGGTAGCAGCCGCTGGTACAGAACGGTGGCTCACGTGAGAGAAGCAGGAAAGCGGGGCCGGCATGATATGGCCCAGCAATTTGGCTCGCAAAATACAGTCATCATACCCATTAGTTCGATCGAATTCGAGCGTGGTCGAGCGACTTGGTGAGAAATAATGCTAAATGGCACTAATTAGGGAGATTGTAGGGTGTACTGCGAGGGGGTATTTGAAAAATCCCTAGATTACACTCAACGCCGATTTGAGGGGTAGCCCGTTCGCCAATCATTTGTTCCAAACCTTTTGAGATTCTGACAAGCTCTACCTGATTGATGTTGGTTTTGTTGGGAAATTGAAAACAAGGAGGGAGCCCAGGGGGCAACCCTGCACCAATAACACCTACAACATCTGGAGAGATCTCTTTTGCATGCTTTGCAAAGTCTTGAATCTTGCTTTGCACAATTTGCTACAATATCGCTCAATCCTAATCCTCCCATGACAGGCACAAAATCTCAGGCCATATTTCCAGGGCTGCTCCGTAGCCCAGTTTCAAAGGGTGGAAACTTGACCGCCAATGCCACGGACGGTGGATCAGTGGAACTGAAATTCGATCGCTAAGCCTATAGGTCCTATAGCGAGGCAGCAGGTCATCTTCCGTCAACGGAAAAACAAATACGTCTCCAAACGAATGAGAGCCACATGTCGCTCGCTTGCCCCAAAAAGCTGAAGCCACCGGCAAAGGGGAACTTGGAGCCCTGGATTTCACTGCGGCTTTTGATGTCCGCTGGACGACTGACACCATCTTGTCGCGAAAGGCTAAGACTTCTGACTACGTTCACAGCATTTCTTACGAAAGCCAGGGCTTGCTTCTCGGACCTTTTCACTTACAGAACCCGTTGACCATGGCACATCAGCAGGATATCAAAAACTAAACAGCTCCTTCTCAGGTGTCCTTGGTGAAACCCCTGCATTTAGGCTCCTTACATTCTAGTTTTAGCAAATGAGTTGGGAAACAGCTCCACATCATACTTTTTGTGTTCCTATATCACTTTGGCTTCATTGCATCTGGCGGAACCAAGCAATGAGAGCTCCCTTAGATCACTTTACCTTGGAGTACCTGTACTGGCCTTGCGCAGCATTTAGCGTTCTGGGTGGGAACAGTCAGCCCCATCCAATTGATGCGCACTCGACATACAAATGTGGCTTCTGAAAGTCTATATTGACATGTCAGTCTCATGACATGTCAGTCCCAGGAGCCTAGTGTAGTACAGTGGACAAGCAATATAATCAGTTCGATCGAACTGAAAATGGCGATTCGGGAGCGTGACAGGATCGTTGATGTTGACTGCATTTGCAGCTGTAGTGCATCACACTACAAGAAGTTTTACAGTCAATCATGCGCTGCTGGCATCCAACGACCACAGAATTGGCACAGCCTGGGGCCGCTGAAGTTTCAACAGAACTGAAAGACTTCAACCAAGCAATCTCTTCTCATCCATTCATCACCAAAACTTGCAAGCTGGATTGTGCGATCGCACCATATTTTCTAGCTGATTCTGGTTCCATTAGATCGCATTTCTGGCACCACTTGAGGTTGAAGACCATTTATGGACATAAAATGTGAATCTTCCCGACCAGGGCCTGGTCAATTTATGAGGTTGAAGAGACTTACTGGGCTTACATAAGTTGGAGGGATAATTCATTGGCTGACAAACCCCCAAAATCATGTTGCACCAGATGGCCCACATGTCAACATGAACAAGCCCGTTCAAAGGGCTAGTCGACCAGGTGTCTCACAAGGCATCCCCTGATTGCGTGTTTCGTTTCGCGAACGACCATGGTCAATACATGAGTGGTCCTAATTTTCAATTCATGAGGAGTGCACAGCTTCGAGGCATCGTCTTGTTCGGCATCTGCTTCAAGCACAAATTAAATTTCCAGATCCGTCCCATAGGACGATGCACAAAGTTGGCTTCGCAAATCTGAAGTCTGTGGCCAAAATTTCAACTGTCCTCCAGCACAAGACACGACCCATTCTAAAGGACTGAACACGTTTCTGCATCTGCTGAGACAAACAGTATCTAACTTACCATGACGGACAAATTCTATCAGCGGGTGACTTGGAATCTGTATGAATCTGTTGAATCGAAAAGCTAGACAAAAGCTAACAATGCACAACTGCATTTGTTTACATGAAAAAAACATCTTACGTCATTTTTGGGACCTCCTTCTGGCGCCCAAGATTTTGTCGTCAAAGCCCCAACAAAGAGTGGGAAATCTGACAGCGTTGCACACTCTGTTTCAGAAAGCCTACCCGGTCTCCAAACACATGTTGAAATGCTCATGGTAAACTGTTTGGTGCTACATGTTCCAGAATTAAGAAACTTGGTTGGTTCTGCAAAACTTCACTGAACTATTTGCTAAGCTGCTAGGGTTTCTTTTGTGGACTTAGTTTCCTCAATCAGATACCTGCATGCACGAGGTCTCTTTCAGACCAGGCGATAAAACATGATATCTATATACTGAATTTGGAGCTGGCGCGAGCTTGGTGTGAACCAAGTGCTTTCTCGAAGTCTTTAAAAAGCTTGCACGCATGTGGTCATTCAATGTTTGCAAGCATAAATTCGGTGAAAGCAAAACAGAATAGACCCACCGAGAGTTTTGCACGCGGCTCACATCGAAATGCTGTTGACTGTTCAGCCATTATCACTGTCACTCAAACACGGCCGTCTGCACCAGTCTGTCTGGGCAAAATCTGAACGATCAAGGCACGAAAGGCCGGACCACTTTATCTGAAGCCTGGCTGAACCGGCCCTGCTGTTAGAGTCCGATGGGAAAAAACACACGGCAGTTGGATATCGAGGGGATGTCAAACAGCTTTGTGCATCGTGAATGCGGATAGGCAAACAGAGTGTCTGGGGATGTATATCAAGGCTTTAGAGATTGACAGTCCTGTCACAGCACCATCATTTTGGACAGAAAGGTTTACAAACACTAATATTTTTTTCAGCAGCGATATGCAGCTCTTGAAGAACTACATGTCCGCAGCAGCATTCCGTCAGCAGTTTTTCAGCAGCATTCCGATATATGCCCGCCAAACCTTTGGGTTTCTTCTTGGATGCCGGATAACAGTGAGCCCAATTAACTACTTTTCAAACACATGTTCGAATGGAAAGAATGCTCAGCGACATAAGTTGCCCTGGACATATTGTTTGTCTTGGTTTCTCCATGACTCATATGATGGGTGCATGACCATGGCTTGCGAAAGGTTCAGCAAAGATGGCCAAAATTTCAGCTGTCCCAGCACAAGACACGACCCATTCTAAAGGACTGAACACGTTTCTGCATCTGCTGAGACAAACAGTATCTAACTTACCATGACGGACAAATTCTATCAGCGGGTGACTTGGAATCTGTATGATTCTGTTGAATCGAAAAGCTAGACAAAAGCTAACAATGCACAACTGCATTTGTTTACATGAAAAAAAACATCTTACGTCATTTTTGGGACCTCCTTCTGGCGTCCAAGATTTTGTCGTCAAAGCCCCAACAAAGAGTGGGAAATCTGACAGCGTTGCACACTCTGTTTCAGAAAGCCTACCCGGTCTCCAAACACATGTTGAAATGCTCATGGTCAACTGTTTGGTGCTACATGTTCCAGAATTAAGAAACTTGGTTGGTTCTGCAAAACTTCACTGAACTATTTGCTAAGCTGCTAGGGTTTCTTTTGTGGACTTAGTTTCCTCAATCAGATACCTGCATGCACGAGGTCTCTTTCAGACCAGGCGATAAAACATGATATCTATATACTGAATTTGGAGCTGGCGCGAGCTTGGTGTGAACCAAGTGCTTTCTCGAAGTCTTTAAAAAGCTTGCACGCATGTGGTCATTCAATGTTTGCGAGCATAAATTCGGTGAAAGCAAAACAGAATAGACCCACCGAGAGTTTTGCACGCGGCTCACATCGAAATGCTGTTGACTGTTCAGCCATTATCACTGTCACTCAAACACGGCCGTCTGCACCAGTCTGTCTGGGCAAAATCTGAACGATCAAGGCACGAAAGGCCGGACCACTTTATCTGAAGCCTGGCTGAACCGGCCCTGCTGTTAGAGTCCGATGGGAAAGAACACACGGCAGTTGGATATCGAGGGGATGTCAAACAGCTTTGTGCATCGTGAATGCGGATAGGCAAACAGAGTGTCTGGGGATGTATATCAAGGCTTTA